CCCCCTCTCCCCCTCCGCCCCCCCATGCTGCGGCCATCATTGGTATGTGCCGTGTGTCTCTGTGTGCTTCAGGTGAGGGCTGCCTCCACTGTCACCTCCTGGAGTAACCAAACTCCAACAGCCCTCCCCAATGTCCCTCCTCTTCAAGTAGGCAGCGCCTCAGACCAGCAGGTACACTGACCGCCCACCGGACCTCCACACACACCTTCACTGATGTTTGCAGATGTTCTGACACGCAGGCTTGCCTTAATGAATGCAAATGTGTTTTCACTGATCGGATTAATTACCTGATTTCCCAGTTTGGCTGCTGTGGTTTTTCTGTGGTATTACCCTGCTTCCTGTTGATACTCTTTGTCTCCTGTGATGCATGTCTTCACTCAGTCTCATTTGTTTCTCCTGCACACAGACATCTCTCTTCACATCTGTCTGTTCGTCTAAACACACCACACCTCGACCTGCATGCTGTTACTTCTTAGCAAACATAATAATGCTGATCTGCAGATATTAAATGACTTTGAGAAGAGCAAAAGAGCAAGTTTGACACAGGATATTCTGCCCTCTGTTCGCAACACCAGGCTTTATTTTTACACTAGCAGCGGAAAAGGCTTCTAGTCTTCTATAAATGTTCTGATCAATCTGTTCAATCCTCATGTAAAACAATATTTGAGAACACAGGGACAATGAACAAAACAAGACCGGTAACAAGTATGCAGAAATGAAGGATAGAATTTAATCAGCAGTGGTGGAAATTATGCTACAGCAGATTCAAACTCAAACATCAGATAACAAAGGTTACATTGTGCTGAAAATAAAGAAGAAAACTAATTTAAAAAGGAGACATGTAAACAAATAGAGCACAAAAGAGCAAAGTAAGAGACATTAGAAAAGCCAGGACCAAGGAATAGATCAATTAAATCATTGTAGGGAAAAGACATTTTGATGACATTTATGAACATCAAATCAAAACTAATAAACGTACAACGTGAACATTTAAATAAGAAAATGACCAAAAGACGCAGGGATCCGCTTCAGATTGAAGTCTTTTGTGTATGAAGTCACTAACAGGGTATATTGCTGTTAATCAACTAATCGTTGCAGCTCTACTTGTCACTAACTAACATTAACTCTCTGAGTATGTTGATGACAAATTAAACTTGTGTCTTCAGCCAAAGATCATCTATGAGTGAGGAACCTCCACTCTGTGACACTGCTGTCCAACTGCAAGTGCTTTCATCTACTCTAATAAAACAACAGCTGATCAGATCGAGCACAAGGTCTCCCAAATAATCATAATTTCAATCAATTTAATCTTATAAATAATCATAATTGTGATTCATTGATTTTCAGCATCTGGATCAAGTCGTGTGGCAAATGTAGTTTTTTACAGATTATTTCAATGTTTAATCAACATTTAGGTAAATTATAAGTATTTAATCAAACCCATTGTTATTATTATTTCAGTATTATATACTAATATAATATCATACAGTGTTATAACATTACTAGGACTCGGTTTGGGGCCGGTCTGGAGAGCACAGAGACGTTATCGTGGATCTTTCTGTCTTTTGGCTTCAGGTTTGAGTTTCTTTGTGTCTCTGCAGGCGGAGCCTTCAAACCCCGTGTACGGGATGCCACCCTCCGGCTCGGCCGCCGCACCTCCACCCTCCTCCACTCCTGCTTACATGGTGTCCCATCAGTACCAGCGTAAGTGTTTCACACATTCTGGCAGAAGAGTTCGCTCCGCGTTATTAAGGTTGTTGACTTGAGTGTCAGAGTGTCAGACGAGAGTTTAACTGTCATTAAGCAACCTTGTCTCCTAAATATGACGTTTATATACTTGAACGTATCTGCAAACTGTTAACAGAGAACGATTCATTTTCATGGTCATGTTTACACAACTTAAACACAAGATGAGACGATATCAATATTTAACCAAAAACAATCCCCTCTTTGCCCAAATTAAACTAAACTTTTTAGGTCGCGTTCATGTCTGTCAAAAAGAAAAAAGGATTGCTGCCTTTTAGTTCTGCTGCAGAGTTATTATAGTTTTGTATTTTTCATTAGTTTTTATTTAGTTTTTTATAATGAAGAACTGTTTTAGTTTTAATTAGTTTTAGTGTTCGTTTTAGAGTTTTTTATTATTATATAAGGGGTATTGTCAGGAGTTCAGAACAATCCACGTTAATAAATAAATCAGTGCTGTGTATTATGTATTGTTGTGATGGTTATGAAGGCTTACATTCCCACTTTCATTACCACCGTTCAGCCACTTTATCTATAATAACATTGATTCACACTGACTCATCCAGTATATAAACATTATTAGTAGGAGATGGGGTTGCCTGACATACAGTGAACATACAGCCTCAGTTCTCTCTTCTTTAAAACCCTGACAAGCATTTCCTTTTAGAAAATGTTTGACTCTGTAATATCTGATCTCACTAACTGAATATGTCTTATTGTGACTGTTTTATCTCTTTGCCTGTTGAGTCTTTAACAGAGAGCGCAGTAGCATGCACTGTTAGCCTGTTTATTATAAGTCTGCCCTGTTGCATGATACTGTCTGATATAACACTAACAGCCTCTGTTGTATCCTGTGTGACTCCCAGCCTACCCCCCCCAGGTCAGCCAGTACCCACCTGGAGCTGGTGGGGTGTCTATCTATCAGCCTCTTCAGTACTCCTCTGCTGCTCCTCCTCCTGCAGAGCCTCCTGGCTTTCTCTCTCAGTACACGCAGCCCATGCCCTCTCAGCCAGCACCTCCGGTCTATCCCGGACAACCTCCCATCAGCCAGTGCCTGTCCTCCTCTCCTCCCTCCCATCCTCCTCCTTTCTTTCCGACCGCCTCCGCCTCTGCCTCTTCCTCCTCCTCCTCTTTTTCTGCTCCTCCGTCCTCCGGAGCGCCTTTCCAGCATGGCGGTCCGGGATCTCCGGTGTCGTACATGCCTCTTCCTCCACCGTGCGGAGTCTCAGGTACACAGCTTGACCCCGACCCCGGGCTGATCCCCGCCTCTCAGAGAACAGGTCTGCATGGCTCTGATCATCCTCACATCTCTCTTAGCCTGTGTGTTCAAAGACAACCACAGTTTGAACTTTTTAACTACCAAACAGTTCAGTGCATCTTCAACTTACTTAGACAAGCATTTTCAGTTTTTTACCTTATTAAGATATAAAACATAATACAGATTGGTTTCAAAACAAAAACAGTTTTCATAATAAAACAACCATTAAGGAATAAAGTCAAAGTGCCAGTGACAGTGACAGTTAATGTGTGCATGTGTTTACAAGTTTACTACAACATGGAAATAGAGCTCAAAATCTGCGTTAGGAAATTCATAAAGAATCCCCAAAAAAAGGAAATAATGCTGGAAAATTTAATTAAATGCCTCAATGTTTTATCTGGTCCCAGAAGAAGCTCACTGGGCAATACAGCCAGATACAGCCTGAGTAAAGGCAATTTATAAAAGATAGATA